CCGCCTCACTTGCAAGGACTCGGGTGTGGGATGGAAACCAAGTCCCTCTAGGTGGGCTTGGGAGGAAGGGTCTCTTAGTATCTTCATCCCCCTGAGTATACTTATGCAAACCAGCACCGCTTCAGGTGCTTCCACACCTCATGGTGGGTTCTGATCAGGAATCCTTCCCATAGATAGAGGCCATACAAGAGCCAAGCATCCCTTGAACCTTTGGGCATCCTTATTACACCAGTGGCAATGTCAGGGAACCACATTTTCCCCTAGCCATCCTCTCTTCGGGTCGTTCATGTGCTGCATCTCATCCAGGAGATGGGCTAGTGAAGCCTGCCTTGGCTGTCCCCCGCTCTGATCAGTGCCCTGCGAATGTAACTCTCTTGCTGATACCCAGCAGTGAGCTCATCCACAGCTGTCCAAGTAGATTGAAGTCAATGCAGTGAAATCCACGTTAGCAATAGCAGAGGGCTGTTTCTGTGCAGCTCTCGGCTAATGGAAGTGGTGTCTCAGCAGGAGGATGGCTGAGGGACGTGCCCTGGGCGACTGAGCCGAGTGTATTTTGGTCAGAAACTCCCCTGCTGACACTTAGCCTTCTCTCGCTGAGTTATTATGTATGAGTGGACACTGTTACTTTGAGTGTTACATCCCCTGTGGATTCAGCAGTGAGTAGGGTTAATACAGAGGGTCCGGAACTAGAACCCCAGATCTGAACTCCCCCCTGTTCCTTCAAACTTTGGCTACGGTCAGAATCGAAACCTGGAACTAGAGCCTAACTTCTCCTAATGTTGGGTCGTTTGGATCTGGAGTGCTAGTTTGGCCCATTCTAGTGCTAGGAGCAAGCCACACGTTCAGATCGGGAAGGGGGTTTAGGTAAAGCCCCATTGGGTTTGGGCCCAGCTCTGTTTCTGTGAACTACAGATTGCTACATGTTAAGGCCAGAAGGGACTGTTTTGATTATCTAGCCTGACCTCCTGCATAATACAGACCAGAGAATTTCACCTGGTAATTCCTGCGTCTAGACCAGTAACTTGTGGTTGAAGTAGGGCATCTCTTTTAGCAAGGCATTCAGTCTCAATGTAGACTCCAAACGATGGACAATTTACCATATCCCTTTTACATACCTCCTTGGCAGGTAAAGCTTCCCTGCCATGCAGCACAAGGGAGAGAGAGAAAGCCCTCACTCTCCTTACGCTGCAGTAGCATAGTGGTTGTGGACCTGTTCCATCTGCATTACAAAATGCTTGCCAGGCAAATGCTTTCCAACGACCTCTGTTGACAAGACACTCTCCTTGCAAAGGGCTCTCAGCCCGGAGCAGCTAGCTGCCTTCAGCCTGTGGAGACACAGGGAGCCGTTCAGTGGAACCCTGGCCCCCGCAGAAACATTTGTGATTCAGTTCCACTTGGCACCATGCTAGAGGGCCTCTGTGGTGACATGCGGCCCCCAGTAGCAGTGGCAGCAGCAAGAAGATATTAAGGGGAGTTAGGGCATCTTTGTATGGCAGGACACTTTCCGGACACTCCTAGTTCCCCGGGCTGACAGGGGAGGGATCTTGTGGCTGATACACCATGGCAGTTCATGAGATGTCTCCCTGACTCATGCTGCAAACAACCAGTGGAGCTCCCAGGGAAGGGAGCAGCTTGCCAGTGTCTGTTCTTGATGTATGGCATTTTCCTAATGCTGTGGTGCTCTGTGCTCTTAAGGGGCATGTCCCTTCATCCCTCCCCCCACAGCACTGACCCTGGTGTTTGTAGCATCAACAATTTATCCTGTGTGGAGGGTAAATTGCAGTGTAATAGTAATCCGTATTAATGGTGAGCCCAGGCCGAAACCCCAGATCTCAACATGAGGGTGTTTGGAAACTGAACCCTGGTGTGAAATTCACAAATGACTCTTAAGAATAACTGTCAGAGGGCAGTAGCTCCCTGCATAGAAACGCAGAGCTCTTCTGCTGATTCACACTAGCAGCCAGACCCGGTGGGTCCTACTAGCTTCAACTGAGGAATACAAAAATCTTGGAGTGTCTCTCTCATAAAGCAGAGAGAACTAGGGAAGGGACAGAGGCCCTGCAGGGAAAAAAAACAAAGGAAGGACAAAACTCAGGAGGAAGCTTAGGCTGAGGGATGTGCTTTGTTCTTAAGAATAAAGGAAACCCCCAAGAAAGCAGGGTGAGCTTGGGACGCGGTCATTTTTATGTATTTATTTATTTTTTACAACTGTTGTTGAAACCAACCCTTGAGCCTATTCCAGAGTGATGTAACTAAGCCCCGTCCATAAAGGCTGTAACAGTGGCCAAGGCAGCACGTCTGGGCCCAGGGAAATGTTGTCAAGGAGGTTGATCGATGGATCTGTTTAATTGGTTTTATGCTGCTGCCCATCCCTGTAGTATCTGGGCGCCTGCCAGGTAAAATCAGTAGCAGTAGTGAAGTCCCTGGTGGCAGCAGTCACCTGTCACCACTCTCTGAGTTATGCTGCCGAAGAACAGTTGGCGTCACTGTTCCTGCCATGTCACATAGACAGGTTAGCAGTATGTTGTGTTCCACTGTGTGAAAGGTAGCGGAGAGGTCCAGCATTGCGAGCATGGGGATCTTACCTCCATGGTCTATGACCACAAGAAGGTTGTCTTCTAGTGCCACCAGAACTGTCTCTGCTGTGCCCTGGCCCTGACGGGGAGACATCTAGGTTCGTGGCTGACGTTGCATGCTGTTGGAGTTTGATGATTACTACTTGCTCAGTTATTTTGCCTAGGAATGGGAGGTGGGCGACAGGACGGTAGTTGGAGAGAACTTGGGGGTCGTGTGATGGCTTCTTGAGGATTGGGCCAACTATGGCATGTTTCTAGAGGTTTGGGAGGTTTGTCTCTCTGAAGGAGACCCTGACTGTTTGCATTAGTAGTGGGCACAGTTGTTCTTCACTAGCTTTTACCAGCCAGGAGGGGCACGGGTGTATTTCACAGGCTGTGGCTGTAATATTTTCCTGGGCTGAAAGAAATGGATCCTTAAATTGCTAGAGAGCCTGGGCTGGGCTGCACTGCTGCTGGAGGAGTTCAAGAACCGGGTCAACAAGGAAGCTGTGTCTGTGAAGCAGGCATTTAAGCCTGAACAGCAGTTCCCCCATTTCTGGCCTCTTCATTCCTCTTGATCTGTTAAAATGCCAAGCTCACTTGCAGCTCTTTCTTGCTAAATGTGACAGTCCCTGTGGCTGGGGCTGGCTTGTGCACCCATTACTCACGCTGGTGAGAAGTTACTATTGTTAATTGTATGGCAGTAGCACCTAGGGACCTGAACTGAGGTCAGGGACCCATTGTGCTAGGGGCTGTACATGCACGTAGTGAGAGACAGCCGCTGCCCCAAAGACAGTAAACTCCAAATAGACAAAGCCTAGAGGGGATGCAGAGGCCCAGAGAGGGAACTGGTCACACAGCAGGTCAAGGGCAGAGCAGGGAATAGAACCCCTGGTATCTGTCCCATCAACTCTCTGTCACCTAATGTGCAGACCTTTCTTGCCCTCTCTTCTCCCTCTCTTAGTTTCCTCGGCGACTGAGTTCTGTGTCTCTGACTGGCTTGTGTGAAAGGCTGTCTGTGCCAAAGGCAGTCGCCTTGTGTTGTATCCATGCAGTCACCATGGAGGGGCCCGAAGACATTGTCATGTGTCTGCTGAAAGTCTTTTGTAAGGGAGTCAAATTTCTTCCACTAATCCTCACAGGAGGGTTTGACTCCTCTTTAAATAGCCAAACTTCATTCAGAAACATCTAATTAGCAGAGGCCTTGTTTTGAATGGCTCGCTTGGAAATAATGCCCCTGCGAATTTGGAGAATCCATCTCATAGGGATTCGGGTGACCTGTGTTGAACTCGTTAAACGTTTTACTGAGCCAGGGTCTGGGTCCCTGCGCTTCAGAGCTTCCTAGCAACCAGACGTTAATTACAGACTGAGGAGGAATTAAGTGCAAGCCTAAAACTGGAGTCCTGAGGGAGCTTTGTGGCTTATTTTGTTCTGATTTCCTGCTCCTTTCATGGCGCCTGAGACTTGATGATGCTTCAGACTTGTAATCCCAGGAGAAGAGTTATTATTTGGAATCTCTTCGGCCTTCAAAAGAGCTGTTGCGTTTTAGGACCATTTCCCAGGACTACGTAATCTGCTCAGATGTAACGGGCTGGGGCAGGGGAGCTTGTACCTTCCTCTGGAGTCTGCTGGTTTTAGGGTGCAGTAAAGGGCGCTCTGTCTGCCCCCCTTTAATCCCATAGACCCTTTGCTCAGAATCATTCAGGTCCCTGGGAGTGAATAATGATGGCGATACTGTTTGTGACATGAGCTGAAGCTATTCAGTGCCGGAGAGAGAGCGCCTTGCTCGTGGTGAAGAGTAGGCCCCATTGAAGCAGGTGGTGCTCCATGTAGGGTGCTAAGTAGTGTTGCCTACCACATAAAGCACTGGACTGGGACTCAGGAGACCACAGTTCTATTCCCAGCTCTGCCAGTGGCCTGCTGCTGCAGGACCTCGGGCAAGTCACTTCATCTCCCAGGGCCTCAGTTCTCCTCATCTGTACAATGGGAGTAAAGCACTAGCAATTAGTACTGAAAGGCGCTCACAGCCTGCCCGTGAGACTGCAAGCAGGGAGCAGTCTTTTCAATCCATGTGTATACAGTGCCTAGCACAGTGGAGCCCTGCTCCCTGACTGGGGCCCCTCGGCACCACCTCAGGCATAACAGCAGAGGTGCTATAGGTAGTAGAAATCCTTAGCACTGATACTCACTTTGCAAACACACATTAGCTCCCCCGGGGGCATAGCAGCGTTGGCCCAGTGTTTCGGAAGGGAAACCTGAGCTGCAGAGAGGTGAAGGGACTTGCCGAAGGCCACAGATTGGGTCGGTGTTAGGGCAGGGATCAGTGTCAAGGAGCCCCCTTGCTCCCCATCCCGTACTCAGACTCAACCGTGGTATGTGATTGTCCCATGCATTGATTCATAGTGGCCAGTCTATCCACTCAGTCTCTGCTTCCTCTCTCATCAGACCTGGCACAAGGGCACCTGCAGCTGGGCCACCTGGGCAGGGGTTTCCAGGCAGAGCCAACCTCCATTTCCCCCTCGGAGGTGGAAGGCCAGTCCCCGACAACTGTGCGCTACCGAAGGAACAACCAGCGCCGCTTCTCCATGGAGGCAAGTACTGGGCAGGGTGAGGAGGAGGTGCATGGAGGAGGAGCTCCTGTGGTTCTCATAGATGGGAGGCAATTGTCTAGGACGTGGGCTGGGGGGCATGGGCAGTATGTAGGCTGTCACGCACTACTCCCTGAATGCCTGTTTAAGGTTCTCAGCCATGTCGGGTGCTTTAGACACTAACTCTGTGCTGGCCCTGTCTGCAGGATGTCAGCAAGCGGCTCTCCCTGCCCATGGACATCCGTCTGCCCCCGGAGTTCCTGCAGAAGCTGCAGATGGACAATCCAGAGTTCCCCAAGACCTTCAGCAGGATGTCTCGACGGGCTTCCCTCGTGAGTCACACAGCTCAGGGGGTCTGGGTCTAGGGGGAATTGTGTCAGGCTCACGACACTATGCACATATGCCACTGCTCACAGCTGTGTGCTTAAATCCCCATGCACTCACGTGTGCAAATTCCCATGTGAATGCCCATCCACCCACGTTCCCACACATGCCCATCTCCGCCTGCCCACATGTACACACTGATGCAAGTAAATCGCTATTGCACACAACTACGAGTGTAAACCATCGCATACTCGTGCCTACACTTGCGTAAATCCTCACCATGCACATGCTCACACCTATGTGTGCAAATCCCATGTCCATGTGCAGTGCAAATCCCCACCTGCCTGGTGCATACTGCTACGGGTGCAAATCCCCTGCTGCACATGTCCCCACACCCAGCCGTGTAACTCCCCACACCTGCCCCTCACATTCGGACACTCCCACGTGCCTACACTAAGGTTTGATTCTTTGAAAGGATGGGGACTGAAAATCACTTGACATTTAAGAAGCACCTGCTAGCGGCCGCCGCTCCTAGTTAAAATGCAAATGCCAATAAATAATGAATTAGTCTTTGTACTAATTTCAGAGTTTCACTTTCTGTATAGCACAGCATCAGCATGCACAACGGCGACACCACAGCACCTTATTTACGAATATGCCAGCGTGCTTCCCAGGCACCAGAAACACTCTGTGTTGCCCAGTCACTGGGTCCGAGACCTTGGCAAGCCTTTGACGGACATCTAGCCCCAAGTGGGAAGAATGGTGTAAGCTGATGTACTGACAGCGCACGCCGACCTGTGCAGTCTCTTGTGTCTATTGAATAACATATACCTGGGTGAAGCGAGTGTGCCATAAATATTAATAATCCTGTCAATGAATAATGCGTGTTTCTGTAAAGCTCTCCACATGGCGGTATGCCGTTCGTAGGCTTTCAGATCATGTCCAGCCTCCCTCACCTTCCAACAGTCACGTTATTATCTCCGTCAACTGTGCAAAATAGACTGATGTAGTTGCTCCTGCGGGAGATGGATTGTTCAAGGGAATGGGAGTGGTGCTACTGACACTATTGACCTCACAAGTCGCTAGTTCAAATCCATCTCGTGTCAGCAGCTAGACTGTAAGTTTCCCTCCTCTGTGTTTTGGTGGCTTGTGTGAAATGAGTGGGTGGGACAGGCGCTGATTGGAAAATGCGGGGGGAGGGGGGAGGAGTGATGGCAGAGAGGCCAGAGAGACTGACCTGCGTTCTGTATAGGTTGGTTCCTCCAGGTTCCCACTTGTAAGGGGGATTGTGTCCCTGCTGCAGCCCATGGAATTCCTGCTCCGTGGATAAACAGTCTCCAGGACTTGCCGCCAGTTTAAAATTCACACACCATTTTCCTGTTCAACTCCAATCAGACGACCATGAGGTTCTTTATTCTGAGAGAATATGACAAACAATTTCTCTGCTCCATGGACGGTGACTGCGCTGTTCCAGAGCTCCCTGTCAAGCGACAGCTGTCTCTCTAGCACCACCTACGGATGGAGAGGTGGCATGTGTTGTATCGATGAACAGAATGCTGGGAATCATTAAGAAAGGGGTAGAGAATAGGACAGAAAATATCTTGTTGCCGCTATATAAATCCATGATATGCCCACATCTTGAATACTGTGTACAGATGTGGTCGCCCCATCTCAAAAAAGATATATTGGAATTGAAAAAGGTTCAGAAAAGGGCAACAAAAATGATTGGGGTATGGAATGGCTTCCGTATCAGGCGAGATTAATAAGACTGGAACTTTCCAGCTTGGAAAAGAGACAACTAAGGGGAGATATTATTGAGGTCTATAAAATCATGACTGGTGTAGAGAAAGTAGATAAGGAAGTGTTGTTTACGTCTTCTCATAACACAAGAACTAGGGGGGTCACCAAATGAAATTAATAGGCAGCAGGTTTAAAACAAATAAAAGGAAGTATTTCTTCACACAACACACAGTCAACCTGTGGAACTCCTTGCCAGAGGATGTTGTGAAGGCCAAGACCGTAACAGCGTTAAAAAAAGATAAATTCATGGAGGATAGGTCCATCAATGGCTATTAGCCAGGATGGGCAGGAATGGTGTCCCTAGCCTCTGTTTGCCAGAAGCTGGGAATGAGCGACAGGGGATGGATCACTTGATGATTACCTGTTCTGTTCATTCCCTCTGGGGCACCTGGCACTAACCACTGTCAGAAGACAGGATACTGGGCTAGATGGCCCCAGTAGGGCCGTTCTTATGTTCTTATTATGGTACATATCAAAAAGTGGAAAGCCACTGCACTTCCCTGAGATAAGAGTTGTGTTTGTGACTGTCCTGTACGTAAACACATACCAGGTGTGTGAGAGAGACATATTAGTTATGTCACAGGAACACCTATCCATGGGATTCTTTCGTCGACCTAGCAGTATGTACTCTGGGGCTTAGATTGGCTTAACCACATTGCACGGGGAGCTAAATTTTTCACAGCCCTGAACGATGTAGTTAGGTCGACTTAATGTTATAGTGTAGACCAGGCCTCAGAGATAGTCCCTGCCCCAGAGTGTTTAAAATCTAAATAGACAAAGGCCGTGTCATTTTCTCATTGGGAAACTGAGGCACAGAGAGGTTAACAGCCTTGTTGACGGTCACACAGAGAGTCTGTGGTAGGAACTCAACCCAGATCTCCTGAGTCTCCGTCTAGGGCCTTAACTGCAAGACTACCCTTGCTGGGGCTGTGTCTATGATAGTGTCTCTCTCAGTGTTACTTGAAAGAGTGACCATTGCAAACAGGAAATGTCTCTTTCCTGGTTGATTTGAAAAGCACCTGGGATCAAGGAACGGCATTCTACTGAAGATCAACACGTGGGAATTGACTTTTAGCACAAGGAAGGGGCTGCCTACTTGATGTGAGCCAGGGTAGGTGTCTTTGATGAAAGGGGCATCGTTGCATTTAAAAAAAAAAAGCTCATGTTTAAATTCAGACTTAACTGCTCAAACGTCAGGATGATGGGTGAAGGAGGGACAGATGGACAGAATGATAATGGAATCGTAGAGATAGGAGCAGTGGAAGGCAATATTTCAAGCCACAGTCACATTGCAGAAGAAGACACTTAGCGCAGTGATGAAGTTAATAACTTGCGTCATAGTTCCATGGAGGGAGAAAGCAGGTATCATTTGTTTCCTTTAAGCAACCGGTTTTGGTTTTCCTGTGATTGATTGGCTGGCTGGCTGCTCTCCCCTGCAGATAGCAATAGACGTGTATCTAGAACTGCTGCATGCGAACACCTGCCTTGATTTATCTCCCCCCAAAGCTCATACTGCCCAGCCTCCTTGACGTGACCTTCAGCCGCAGGGCTAATCTTTCCTAGGGAAGGATGTTTCCTGCTGATGTTCTTCCCTTTTCTTTGCAGTCGGACATCGGATTTGGGAAGCTGGAAACCTATGTTAAATTGGAAAAACTGGGGGAGGTAAGAAGAATGTGAAATCAACTCAAGGTTGTAGATGAAGTTCAGAGCAGAGCCCAAGCTGCAAAGGACAGACCCGGAGCCAGACTTCCTCAGCGTATGGGCGTGTTTGGACCTGGGGGTTTGGTCCTGGCCCAGCGTTAGTTATAAGTAACAAGAAGTACTCAAACGTAGCACTTACAGAGTTCTTTTGGGCCCGATCGAAAGACCATTGAAGCTGACAGGAATCTTGAAGTTGACTTTCATGGGCTTTGGATCAGGCTTTTTATCTTCAAAGCAATTTACAAACACTCTGTACAATCCCCGCTTCCTTCTGGGATAGCTAAGTGTTGTTGTTATTTTACAGGGGCAGAGAGGTTAAGTGATTTGCCTAAGGCTATGGAGGGAATCGGTGTAGGAGCTGGAGTAGAACTCAGATGTTCATGTTACCCAGGCTTGTTCTCATGCCAGTGGATCATTCTCACCCTGTCAGACTAAACCCTGACAGGACCATTTTCAAAGAATGATGCCTAAAATGCACCCACAAAGCCCTTGGTTTTACAGGCAAAAGGTTAACTGGGTGCTTAGATGGCTACTTTAAATGCAGGATTGTCTTTGCCATCTGAGCTCCAGTCTTGAAAAATCTGGCCTTCAAGGTTTAAGCCCAAAACTTAGACTTCCCTCCCAAAACTCTGGGTTTACAAAAGGTATTAAATTGTGCAACGTAATACTGTATTTACAGGAGGGGAAATTGCCACCTGATCCCCTGGGTTACTGAAGTATGACATTGATTCCTATTAATATCTTGATTTATGTAACAATCCCAACCACCTTTCGTCAGCAAGGAAGATAGCTGGGTCTCTCCCACTTGAGTTAAAGGAGCAACTCCATTAGATGGTAGCACTAGTGAGTTATTACGTTCTACGTGAACCAACCACTGGAGAGGGATTTAGCCAGTGTACACAGCTGCATTGTTATCAGTGTCACCAGTGGTTGTAAAATTATCCTGCCCTTGTTTTTCAATCCCTTCCATCCAGTGATAAAATGCTCCCATGGACATTGGTTTGCGGTACATGCAGGGTGTCAGATCCCGGCTCCCCATACAGCCCTGCTCCATGCCATCCAAGTGTAAGTTCATGAGCTGCATTTCTCTGTCTCTTTCTCACAGGGCACCTACGCCACTGTCTTCAAGGGGCGCAGCAAGCTAACTGGGAACCTGGTCGCTCTGAAGGAGATCCGTCTGGAGCATGAAGAAGGGGCACCCTGCACAGCTATAAGGGAGGGTAAGGGGCAGTAGATACTTTTTGTGCTAAAAGGCATCACACACAGGGATGGACCACAGCTCTGGGACTCATGATTATAAATGGTAGCAATTTATATCCGCTTACCAGATGGCCCTGTCTCAGCACAGGGGGCTGGACTTGATGCCGTCTCAAGATCCCTTCTAACCCTATACTTCTATGATTCAAATGAGCCTATAGTTAAGGCTACAGGTATTTTTAGTAAAAGTCATGGACAGGTCACGAGCAGTAAACAAAAATTCACGGCCTGTGACCTGTCCATGACTTGTACTATATACCCCTGAATAAATCTTGGGCAGGGGGGTCGCGGGTGCTGGGGGGTGGCCTAGGACCCCCGCTGGTGCTGGGAGGGGGGGCTGGGCGGCGGCACACAGCCCAGGACCTCTGCTGGTGCTGGAGCAGGGAGTGTTGGCGGGGCTGGCAGGCTTCCTACCCAACTCCATGTGTCCCTGCAGCTCCTAGGGGGAGGGAATGCCAGGGGGGCTCCACGCACTGCCCCCGCCATGAGCTCCACCTTGGCAGCTCCCATTGGCCGGGAACTGCAGCCAATGGGAGCTGTGGGGATGGTATCTGCAAGCAGGGACAGCGCGCAGAGCCCCCTGACCCCTCCACCTAGGTCAGGAGCTGCTGGGACATGCCGGCCGCTTCCGGGGAGCCCCTCTGACTGTGTGAAAAGGGGGATGATGCCTGCAATAGAAAGTTAGTAGCGAATCAGCTTTGCCTTAGGGCTGGATGGGCAGCTCAGCCAGCCAATCCAAACCCACTCAGTCCTGAAGGACTGACTCTTCCATCTGCAAAACACTGACCCGGTCTATGAGGACCAGATATTGGGACCAACCAGCACTGCCTGGGCAGGTTTCCACCCCTCATGACAAAGTATGCCGACAATGGACCCTCATGGCTAACGCTGCCTTCTCCTTGCCTTGCAGTTTCCCTGCTGAAGAACCTGAAACATGCAAACATTGTGACCCTCCATGATTTCATCCACACTGAGCGCTCCCTCACCCTTGTCTTTGAGTACCTGGTGAGTCCAAGGGCTGCTTGCCTGGGTGCTTGGTCTTGTGCTGGGGCAGTCTGGACACCCAGACTTTCCCCTGCTGCGGGAGGGATGGGGGCTCATTCCAGACACGGAAATGGTTCATGGAGTGATGAGAAGTGCTGGTTGCAACAACAAAAAAAAGAGGCAGGGGGAATCATGGGGAACAAAAAAATTTTGTGTTTTTCAAAATTCTGAAAATTTCCACACTTTGAGAATTCCCTGACCCGCTTTGTAATAGGTCAAAAAAGGGAACATTTCACAGTAATTTAATCAGATATTTCCCTGATTTTTTTTTTACGTTACTATCTGTTTATTTAGGAAGCAGTGACTGGTTTATAAATCCTTGCCATGTAAATATCAGAAACAAAACAATCACCATTACAACAAGGAGCTTTCGTTTAAAGAGACATTATGCAGGAATATAGACATCAGGTTGCTCTGTGTACCAGGGAGTTACCATATTGCAGCCTTAGCATCATTACAACACCCACACAATATTAACATTTGATAGATAGGCCTGGTCTCTTCAATATGTGCAATCAGAGATTTCACTCCATATTTTTTAATTAACAAAATATTTATTCACTTCTAATAAGAATTGTCTGCTCTGAGCTCCTGTGTAACATGGGCCATAGAATTTCACCCAGAGATTTCTGCATCAAGCCTGTTCACTTGTGTTTGAAATGAGTTTTCCTAGCCCTCCATCTCCACCCATTCCCCCGAGCCACTTCGGGGAGGGTTTGGGATGATCGTAATGGTTCTTTCTGACCATAACTTCTGTAAATCTGTGAAAAAGGCCTGTGGGATTTAGCCACCCAGCCTTTGTCAAACCTCACTCACCATGCTCAGCTTGTGCACCAACCACTTGACCATCGCCATGTGTTGTCAGTAACTTGCTGGGCACACGGTTATTCATGGTCACTTAGAAGGTTCCTTTGGGACGTGCTTGTCGTTGCAGGAAAATGACCTAAAGCAATATCTGGATAACTGCGGGAACCTGATGAACGTGCACAACGTGAAGGTACGAGACCACTATCTTGCGGAAGGGGGTTACAAACTCTCAGGGGATGCTCTATCGTGGCCATGTTGAAGACCCAAGGAACTGACCCGAGGTGCATTGCAGTCGTTGGGGGCTCAAACATTCACACTCAGATTATTCAAATGATCCCATCCAGTGTGCATTATCGTGTACTTCTCAACAGTGAATTCATCTGCCATCGCACTGCCCATTCACTTAGCATTGTTAGACGCCTCTGAAGTTCCTCACCATTTTCTCTGGCCTGGACTAACCTGAATAAATTGGTGTCATCTGCAAACCCTGTTCACCCCCTTTCCTCAACTAGTTGTCTGTATTAACATTCATCCGAGGGTGATTTCATTTCCTTCCTTGCATCTTATTGCAGGAGCTTGTCAACGGTTTTTAGAAAGTTCCCGAGATAGAGACTCCACCCCTTGTCCAGCTCCTAGTATAGTGGGGTGTTTGGTGTTAGTCTCGTGGCAAATGAGGAAACTGACTTTGTTAAGAACTGAGTGCAGCTACACTGAGGGGAGAGGAGCACACTTCATAACTTCTGGAGACCGAGCTGACTGCACACCCCAAGAACTCCTTGCATCCCTCCATTCCCCTCTATTTCAGGGCCTCCCTGCAACTACTCCTCAATCTTCCCCCCATCCATGTTATAGACTCTGTCTGCTCCCCTTCCTCACATTCCCACCTCCCCACCCCTGTGCTCAGGGCTCTGTGTATCCCCCACCATATCAGGCCCCCCAGTTTCCCTCCTCCCACCAGGAAAGGTGTGGGCCTCCCATTCCCCCTTCCTCACCACCATTGATTTTTGTCTGGGAGAGAAGTTATTCAGGATGTCAGCATATTAGACTGTTTTGGGAGGGTGAGCAGGGCTATTGTTATGCTGGACAGCAATAGCAGAGGCCATCAATTCAGTTCTTTAATCTGTAGACAATTGCAGAGGTGCTTGAAGCTGTGGCTGCGCTAAACACATGGCTGGGGCACTATGCGTCCCACATTTCCCCCCTTCTGGTTTTCCGATTTTCCCTAAAATTGGTACGGTTCTGCCCCTGGATGCCTAGAACATTCCCTGCACGTTTGGAATTGATCAGATGTGGCAGAGGGAAGTTCCAGACAAACACAGAAATACCATCAATAATAATAATTATACCCAGCTCTTACATAGCGCTGTTCATCAGTAGCTCTCAAAACGCTTTTCATCCAGTGCAGTGTACGGCCTTCGCAAGCTCTGCCAATGAGTAAAAAGAGAGAGAATCTAATGCTATGCTGCAAAAAAAAACCTCTATGGGTGTGCAGACTTGGGCTCACGGGGCTCTTGCTACAGCGTTAAAAGCAGCCGTGTATCCGTTCTGGCTCAGGCAGGACCTTGGGCTCTGAAGCCTGAGGAGGGGAGAGGCTGAGCCCCAGACTGAGCCAGAACAGCTCCGTGGCTATTTTTAGCACTGTAGCTCGTGTCTGAGTCTGTTGAGCCAAGGTCTGAGACTCACTGCCGTGCAATGTCAATGTATTCTTAGGGTCAGATTTGCATTGGCACACTGAAGGCCAGACTGTGTAAAGAGGCCCTGGCTGTGTAAAGGGGCCTTAAAGTGGACATGAATGTAATTTAGAAGTCCGTGTAATTTGCAGCCACGTTAAGGCCCCTGCATGCTGCCACATTGGTGTAAAGGGGCCTTAGTGTGCATGTGAATATGGCCTGTATTCTTGTGCTCCAGGCTGGAGACGCGGCAGTTCTGGCTTTGCACATTGCTCCATCCCTGGGTGACTCCTGTACATAGTTTGAGATCAATCCAGAGCTGTCCACTGTGATTTTTATTCCCCGTTATAGGGTCCCAAGACCATTGCAGGTTCTGCTTGTCCCTACTGTGTGCTGAACAACATGCCAAACACTGCTCTCCCTCTGCTCTCACCCCTTCTGCTCCCCTCCCCAAGATCTTCCTGTTCCAGCTGCTCCGCGGCCTGTCCTACTGCCACAAGAGCAAGATCCTGCATCGAGACCTCAAACCGCAGAACCTGCTCATCAACGAAAGAGGGGAGCTAAAGCTGGCTGACTTCGGTGAGTAGGGCAGGGAGAGAACAGCGTTGGCCTGGATTGGGCCAGGTTCTGTGCAGACAACAGTGGGTACCGTATGCAATCCCTGGAGCTGCAGAGCAGCATGGGGCATGGGTTCCCGCAGCAGCCCGGGACACAAGCTTGTACGCACTTCTCAAGCTGGTGCTTTAGTCACCTCTGTATGGAAACTGCCTGCTCCACTTAGCAAGGATTCAGCTTGGTGCCTGTTCCTCTGGGGCACATAGGCTAGGGGCCGGGCTTAGTCTGGGAATGCAGGGGGGCGGGACCTCTGGGGGCAGGGCTTCAGCACCTGACAGCTCCCATGTAAGCACCTAGATGCAGTGGGCCAGATTGTCAGACTGGCAGCTCCAAATCTGGCCCGCTGCATTTAGGTGCCTAGATGAGAGCTGAATTCTTTTGCAAACCTGGCCGTGCGGTTCCCTGGGATGAGCGCAGTGCTGCCGCAAAACACAATAGGAGCGGTCTTGCTAACATCCCTTTCGTCTCCAGGTCTAGCCAGAGCCAAATCAATCCCTACGAAAACATATTCCAACGAGGTGGTCACGCTGTGGTATCGGCCTCCAGATGTCCTGCTGGGATCTACTGAGTACTCCACGCCCATCGATATGTGGTGAGCCGGCATCTGCATGCAGGGTGGGATGGGACGGCTCCGTCAGAGTCCCACATTAAGATTCCAAGCTCTCCGGGACAGGGGAGTTCATTGTCTCCCATGTGTCTGTACAGCACCGAGCACTCTGCTGCCCAGTTAAATAATGTTAAATAATAACATTGGGCTGCCACCTGCTTCGGTTTCTGTGCCATGTCCTGCATCTCGGGGGGCACAAGCTGTTTGGAGCAGGGGATGGGTCTTATCTGAACATGTGTGGTGCTGAGTGCATGGTTAGCAGTAATAATAGTGTGGTAGCTCTGGGTACTGATTTCTCTTCCAAGGGAACTGGTGGGAGCCCCATCCCAGGGCTGGGACTGGAAGGAACCAGGCTGCACTGGACACAGGGCAGGGATGGACTAGCACCGCTTTCCCATCTCTAATTCCAATGTCTCTGCTGCTCCTTTAGGGGTGTGGGCTGCATACACTATGAAATGGTCACTGGACGGCCCATGTTCCCAGGCTCGACTGTGAAAGAAGAGCTCCATTTAATCTTCAGGCTTCTTGGTGAGTTGTCTGCATTCTCCCTTATCTCCAGGAGAGGGAGGTGGCTGACCGAGCAGAGGGAAAACAGTACTAGGCTGGCCTTTAACTCCCTTTCTGTAAATCTGGTAGGATTTACGAGCGACTTGGTTCTCAACCAGGGGTACGCAGAGGTCTTCCAGGGGGTACATCAATTCAGCTAGATATTTGCCAAGTTTTACAACAGGCTACATAAAAAGCAGTAGTGAAGTCAGTACAAACTAACATTTTCATGCAGACAATGACTCATTTATACTGCTCTATATACTATACACTGAAGTGTTAGCACAATATGTTAAAAATGAGAAAGTCAGCAATATTTCAGTACTAGTGTGGGGTGACACTTCTGTATTTTTATGTCTGATTTTGTAAGCAAGTCGTTTTTAAGTGAGGTGAAACTTGGGGTACACAAGACAAATCAGACTGAAAGGGGTACAGTAGTCTGGAAAGGTTGAGAACCACTGTACTAGAGAATCAGATGTTTTCTATAAGGTTTTATACCCTTCTTGTAGAATTTGATAGCAGAGAGAGAATTCTCTATTCAATTCCAGGGGATGGTTCAAACCACCTATAGAATAGCTATTGTTTTTTTTACCAGATTCAGATTTCGACAGGGAGCTATTCTCTCTAGTGTAATCTAGTGTCGTTACTAGCAGCTTTCCATAGCCCATGCACAGGGTGATGTGTCTAAACCTGCCTTTCTCCCCCAGGCACCCCTACAGAAGACTCCTGGCCCGGAATCACATCCAACGAGGAGTTTAAGGGTTATCATTTCACCCAGTACCAAGCCCAGCCCTTGATAAATCATGCACCCAGGTATCTCCCTGGAGCAGAGACCCACACTTGCACTGTGGTTTCAGGCTGTTCACAAATGGGAGACTAGGGCAATGAGTGTTGGGGTAGGGACTGGACTGATAGCCCCGGATATTAAGGATCTGCGCCAATCTACAGAACAGATGCAGATGAAGCCAGCATCAGAGCAGGCCTCCTCCACTGTGCCCTGCTAATGTGCATACAACATGCCCTGGAAGGACGCCCCTCCAGGGGCTCGCAGATAAGTACCCATCTGCAGGGCTTATTCCGTCCTCCTTTCTGCTGAGACTGCCACCACACCACATAGCAAGTGTGAAAAATTGGGATGGGGGAGGGGGCTAATAGGGTCCTATATAAGACAAAGCCCCTAATATCGGGATGGTCCCGATAATATTGGAATGTCTGGTCACTCTACAAGGGGTGCTAATTAATACTTAGAACCCCGCCCACCAGCTGTGCAGGGCAAGGCACTGTTCCCCATTGTGTCGTGCAGTGATCGATCCTGAGCCGTAGAATAGAATTACAGAATCATAGAATATCAGGGCTGGAAGGGACCTGAGGAGGTCATCTAGTCCAACCCCTGCTCAAAGCAGGACCAATCCCCAACTAAATCATCCAGGGTCTCTGGGGTATGGTCACAGTCTCCGTTTTTTCTCAGGCTGGACACAGAAGGGATCGACTTGCTGACGAGCCTCCTCCTGGTAAGTGGCCTGACCGTCCAGCCGGATTGCAAGGGGAGGTCTTCGGTGGAGGTGCCACGATTCAGCACCCTCCACCCTGGGGCTCCGGGGGTGCTGCCTTCCTTCCTGGCTTAACATTAGTGCTACCTACCTTCTCACCGGGGGGCGGAACAGGGGGCCTGGCCAGCTGCAGCTGGGAACACTGCACCCACAACAGCCGATCTGATGCTAACTTGGTGTCTGATCATGCGGCCGTTGGAGTCCTCTACAGGCCCTGGATCAGGCCCTCAGTCCCATAGAGCAATGGCAAGGGGTTATGGATGCAACTAAGCCATTTCTCTGACGCTAACGCCAAGGTCTCAGTAGACCTTAGTACCAACCCGCTCCCATTACTCCACCCCGCTAACTGCCCTGAATTCACTCAGAAACTCTCCCCTAAGTGCTGGACATGCCCTTTTACCTTCTTCTCCTGGTTCATGTCCTCCTTGATCAGAGCCCTTGTCATTACCTTCCCTTTGGCTTTTTGAGACCAGCCCACTTGTCCCTGTATTTAAAGTCAGTGGAACTCCCGAACTCTGACCCAGCGTCTCACCTGCGTTATCTGGTCGCTCACCTTTTCTCTTCTGCCAAGTTCCTGGTTCCACTTTCCTGGATTTGCCCAGAAACACAATCCTG